TCAACAGAAACCTTCCTTTTAATCTTAGTCATGTTGTAGTACAGTACAAAAGGCACTATGTAAGGCATAATTAAATTCAAACAAATGTCTACAGTTGCTCACAAGTGATAAATACTATAAACGGGAATACATTACACAATTCTTTATTATGAAAAAAGTAAGAATAAACCTTTTATGATACAAAAGTAGGAAAAAATCTTCATTATTACTTCTGTATATGAAGACCCATTACTCTGTTCAATACATTCCTTGCTTAATAAATTAAACTTTATTGACTAAATATACCAATACATATACATGCAATTATATCTTGTTGATACTTATGCAACAAAAGTATTGTGCCTAAAATTAAACAAGTAAACTTATCAATGGATAATGTACAGTAAAAAATATGTCCTTATAAGTAAGACACAAATCTTTCAAGTAGATTTAAACAACTTGTGACAGCTTCGACTAGACAAAATGAGACAAGTATATGAATAGTTAAGTAGAATATATGTGAGTACTTTTATTTTTCAAACACATCCTTAAAATATTCTTCGAGAGAGAACTACTCAACCCTATGAGAAAACTTTTGAAAACTAAAACATAAGTATTTAATAAGGAAATGATGATAACTATCAAGATAATGGCTCTAATACCAATATTTAGTGTAAATGAGATGATGTGAAAATCATACGATAGTCGCCTCATTCATCGGTATGTTACTGCCTTACCAATGGCCATCTTAACATCTAATCATATGATTCAATAACAGTGAATATTATATTCCACTTTTGCTTCAACTATATAACTGATCTATTGAAATAACATGTTTAGTTTCTGAATATATTAGAACAGTATTATAACAAGGCAACAAATTTTAGTTTGAAACTTCTTATTGCCTAAGAAGACATTAATTGGGACCAAATACTCGTACCATGAGATCAGTACAGAGTGGTTGACACAAATGCAACATTAAAAAAGCATATCAATAAATATGAATTAAACTTAATAATTTTCTTGTAACAAGAAATAATTTTGGAAGATTAGAAAAAAAAAAAAAAATATTGAAAATATCTTTCTAATAGAGCAATTTACAATCATGCAAATAAAAAAAAAAGACACATTTCTCAGATTTGCATGAAACAGGAACAAACCTCTAACTTAATCAGTTGCTTGAAATGTATCATAAATCTCACTGATTCGTTATCGAGAATATAGTGATAATAAATAAATATATCAGATTGTATGTTGCTATAAGAAGAGAGAAGCAATGTAAATAAAAACTGTGTATGTGTGTGCATGTGTGTATATATGTGTGTGTGTGTGTGTGTGTGTGTGTGTGTGTGTGTGTGTGTGTGTGTGTGTGTGTGTGTGTGTGTGTGTGTGTGTGTGTGTGTGTGCGTGTGTGCACAGGCGTGCGTGTGTGTGTGTGTGTGAGTGTGTTTGAATGTATATGCATTTCAGAATCCAGGCTTACATCTTCAGCTATCTTTTGTTAATGTATTCTAATCAAATAACCTTTTATTGTATAATTAAACATTTGGTATATTCAACCTTCCCTATTCTACCCGCAAGTCTAACTCTCATTAGCATACAGCGATTAACAATTACTCTTATATCACTAAGACTTTTGTTTGATTTAGATAGCCCTACACAGCTAAAATTCGCTTATCATTATCCATTTCCCTTTTTCGTTTGGCAGTGTGGATTTCGTTACTGATACGATAAGCAGGGAACATCCCATTATCCTTAAGAATATGTATCATTCGAAAAAAAAAATCAATAAATAGGAAATAAAAACCACAAAGAGTAAATTATCAAGACGCTATCTATCCATCGTAAGCAGAACTCCAGTCACTGTTTAAACCTCAAGTATGCCTTCACAATCAAAGCTCTAAATATTTGTATTCGAAAACACTCTATATCTTCGGAAAAAAAAAAGGTAAAGAAAAAGGGAAAATTTCGGTAAGAAGAAAAATGATGACAATAATAATAAAACTCAGTAATGATGATAAAATTAATAATAACCAATAGTGATAATAATAGTGATAATGATAATAATAATAATAATAAAAATAATATTAATAATAATAATAATAATAACAGTAATAATAATAATAACAATAACAATAATAATAATGATAATAATAATAATAATAGTAATAACAATAACGATAATAATAATGATAATGGTAATTATAATAATTATTATTATTGTTAATAATAATATTAACAATAATGCTAATAACAATAATATTACTGATAAAATAAAAAGTTGATAATAATTACAATAATGGTAAAAACAATCATAATAATGACAATAGTGATAATAATATTAATAATAATAATAAACTTAATAATAGAAATAAGTATAATATCACTTATAATAATACTAATGGAGAGACACTGCAATTTAAAAGATTAAATGATAAAACATAATTCTTAAAAACATCATTCAATTCCAATACAAATGCAGAACATCATACCTTATAAATTGCACAGGGTATACTCAACACAATCATTTGGCACTAAAAACACTGCTGACTACACACCTACATGTAATAGAATGAAGAACAGAACGACCTATGACCTATGTACTTCCTCATACATACAGGACGTCAGATAATAAAAATCGTTAAAGGTTCAAGGTTTCTGCAATACGTCTTCGTCTTGTATTCATACAACCATTATCTTAATCATTATTGATACTACAAAAAAAGTAAAAAGAGGAAGAGGAGAGAAAAAGAAAAAGGAGGGAGGGGGGGGTTTAAATACCGTACAAGAAAATTGAAAAAAAGAAGAAAACAAACGTCAGTTTTCGTTAACATCCGTATGGCACGCTACGTCACAGTAATCGGTTCCTTTTTTTAAATGCAAATTTCACAAAGTTCCTCACATTAACTTTTACTGGAGAAGAAAGTGCATTTTTAATTCCTTCTAGTATGTCTTCATTCAGCAAAAACCAAAGGACACAGTGTCTACTATCATACATCCCCTAATGCTTATGTCCAAAAACATTATTATGGCAGAGACTAACTTGGCTGTACTTCTTTTTATTTTTCTCTTTTGGGAGATTTCGCTCTTTGTTCTATCAGTGTGAAACTTCTCTCTAACACATCAGCCAAACTGACCAACTTACGATATGTTTCTGATGGTTGAATAAATACTCTTTTGACACTCGCTCTCTGGACCTTATAATAAAGTTTTTATGTGCGACTGTAAGCAGCCATGAGCTTTGTGACTATGTTTATAGTGTAATTAAATATTACTTTATTTCTCATATACACATAATCACTGTACTGATTTTTACAATGATCCTTAGTATGGGTCAAAATTTAAGGAGAATACTATGCCATCCAATAATTAATCGGTTTTCCTAATTGATAATCATTTCCCTTGTGTCATTAAGAATGTATTCCAGTTGATACTTTTTCATGCGCATTCTCCAAATTTTCTTGTCATTGTTCCACCACGTGTAACAAAAATGTACAGATATTTACGGTCACCCTCAGTTTCTTTCAAGGTTTGAAGGAAACACATTGCCAGTCAGTGATTTATAGCAATATTCCATAGACAGGAAATATTATCTCTACCAACTCTTAGAGAAAAAATCTAAAAGAAATATCTTACAATATACATTCAAATTACACTATCATATATATGCGAGTGAAAATTCACTCTTCCAGGACAAGAATAATGTGTACCTTTTAACTCTAATATTTCTTAAAGACTTTCATAAGAATCAATCCCAATTCATTACCTTAATTAAACGCTTAAGCAAATAACATGCTCAGCAAAGCAATACAACTAATACCATTTCTTTTTCTTTAACCTTAATGTAATAAATGACTTTTAATTTCAATAGACTTTACTACATACGCAGCAGCCTAGTCAAAACTATGGTGCTTTTGTATATAGGATTTGTAGAAACATTTCACCTATTGACCTTACAATAATAACAGTTGTCCTGATATACAAATGTGTAACTTTCACTAAAACACATGGCCATTGACAAGCCTCAGAAGTAAAGCTGTTTCCATCCTTAAAAAAAAAAAAGAAAAAAAAAAAACTGCATTGAACGACTCTTCTCTCGTCTTCCGGCTTAGGATTCTTCGGGCTTAGGGTCAGGCTTGGGATCTCCTACTCTGTGGTTACCCGCGTGGAGACAGCAACGCATGTAAGCCTCCTGGGTGAGGTGGTAGTCCCTGTAAGGAGGGTATAGGACCGCATCCAGTTGCTTCATGTTCTCGACGAGGAGAGATTCGGCCTTCTCTAAGTCGAAGGTCTCCATCTCTTTACATGCGGCCTTGAATGTCTGCTCAGTGTTCTGTCGAAAGGGATTGAGGTGGTTGGTCAATGAAGGCTCGTAAGTGTTTAGTAATGATGACTATAAAAAATAAATATGATATATTTAGTTTTAAAGATGACTGTAAAAAAATAAGTTATTTGCCTTTGATATAAAGGTACTGTAATACTGACACAGACTCAGTTGAAGCATCACAGATGAAACTTTGGTCAACCACAATAAAAATATAAAGCAAATAGGAATATATCCACAAAAGGAATCAAACTACATCTTCCATGATAAACATAAAATACATCTTCCTAAAGAGATAAACATAAAATATATCTTCCTAAAGAGATAAACTATTATATATCTATTCCTTCAATTCTTCAACTTCAGTTCATCCCCGGCACTTTATTTCTAATTCAATCCTCGTACCTGCAAGTTCTTCAGAGCTCCCAAGATGTTTGTCTGATCTCCACAGCGGTCACACTTGAAGAATGGTATGACTGTCTGGGCAATGTTGACTGGCAATGGACCTTGGCATTTGTGGCATTTGAAGTACATCACTTTGTGCTCCATTTCCTTGAACAGAGGCCAGTCCTTCTGACAAGCCTGGGAGAGAAAAGGTTTTATGAATACAAGGAAATAAGAGGTGTTATATAAAAAAATGGAGCACATCAACTAAGCTCTTTTATTTAGTGAAATATACATATTAAATAGTTACATT